GGCTGGGAACAAAATTGGGATTTTGCTGCCAATCCTAGATACAGTTTGCTGGTGGATACTGGACATCATAGGCTGGTTGTACGGGTGGTTGTGGTTGTGGCGGGCTGGTGGCTGACGCTCCGCTTTGTCCTTGAACTGACGAGTCAGCAGCGTGGGTCCCCGCGTGGCACAGTGAGTCACGCATGGCGGTGCCACTACCACCACCAGCACCACTAACACCATCCACTGATGCCTGTGGCCCATCCATGCCAAGTGTAGCCACATCATCCTCACTATCACTACCTAAAACGGGTGTAGGGCCACGGGATGTACTCCAGGATGTACTCTGGGATGTACTCCGTCCCCTGGGCACAGCATAGGGTACACTACCCGAGCGCATGCGGCGCGAACATACCGACGCTTCACTGGTGAATATGTTTCCTCACTATCACTACTCGAATGATCGTCGAGCGCAATAAAATCACAATCCACGTCAGAATCATCGTCATTACTGAAGTCAGAGGCCTGGCCACGGGAAAATATTAGTTTTCTCTTACATTTAGGAACACCCGACTGTGAGTCACGAGTGCCCACACCAGAGGTAGAAGGTCGAGGATCGTCGGGGTTTTCTGCACTATTATCGATATCCTGGTCATTATTTTCGGTCACTAACTTATCAAAGCCGTAGAATTCGTCTTCATTTCCACTTCCATCAGTGTCAGAACTATCAGACAGGAAGAGGAGAGTCCCAATTTTCCGGGGAGTGAGAGCTGACTTGCGACGAGGCATGGTGAACAAGGGTGAATGAGCCGGCGTTCCCACAATGCTATGCAGGCACCTAGATTTTTTGTTTACAGCGCACACCCACGGCGCAGACCCATTCTCTCACATGTAGGCCTATGAGAGCTTTCGTGCTAAATTTGATGGCGCTAGAATTTTGGCATAGATCTATGGTTTGGACACTCACCGAAAAGCCGTAGATCTACGGGACGGACCCTGAAAGGGTTAAATAAAGAAAAATTGAATATCACATGGGAGAGAGGGAGTATGGAAGAAGTGAATGTTGTCAGATATTTGGGAATTAACATGTCAGGGGATGGGTTTATGAGGGATGAGGTTAACCATAGGATTAAGGAAAAAAGGCGAGTGCTGTGTTGAGGTATATGTGGAGACAAAAAATGTTATCTATGGAGGCAAAAAAGGGAATGTATGAAAGTACAGTGGTATCAACACTCTTATATGGGTGTGAAGCTTGGGTTGTAAATGGTGCAATGAGGAGGTGGTTGGTTGGAGGCAATGGAGGTGTCATGTCTAAGAGTAATGTGTGGTGTAAATATTATGCAGGGAATTCAGAGTGCTGAAATTAGGAGAAGGTGTGGAGTTAATAAAAGTATTAGTCAGAGGGCTGAAGAGGGGTTGTTGAGGTGGTTTGGTCATTCAGAGAGAATGGATCAAAGTAGAATGACATGGAGAGTGTATAAATCTGTAGGGGAAGGAAGGCAGGGAAGGGGTCATCCTTGAAAAGGATGGAGGGAGGTGGTAAAGGAGGTTTTGTGGGAGAGGGGCTTGGACTTCCAGCAAGCGTGTGTGTGTGTGTTAGGAGTGAATGGAGACGAATGGTTTTTGGGACCTAACGAGCTGTTGGAGTGTGAACAGAGTAATATTTAGTGAAGGGATTCAGGAAAACTGGTTATTTTTATACAGCCGGATTTGAGTATTGGAAATGGGAGGTACAATGCCTACACTTTAAAGGAGGGGTTTGGGATATTGGCAGTTTGGAGGGATATGTTATATATCTTTATATATGCTTCTAAAATGTTGTATCTGAGCACCTCTGCAAAGACTGATTATGTATGAGTGAGGTGAAAGTGTTGAATGATGATGAAAGTATTTTCTTTTTGGGGATTTTCTTTCTTTTTGGGTCACCCTGCCTTGGTGGGAGATGGCCGAGTTGTTGAAAAAAAAAATAAAAAATTATTATCTTAGAAATAGAGTAAATATTCTATTTTTGAATGAATAAGAATTCAAAATGGAAGGCAAGAGTAATACAGGAGAGGCCTGGGTATATGACTACTAAACAGAGGAAAAGCTTCAGTGCCAAGAATATCTACATTTTTTATTTTGATTCTATTTTTAAATTTGCATTATTTTAATTGTGTGTAAAATTTGCCAAATTACTGACTTCTGTGCTCCCTATACATTAGCTGAAATAATTGAATGGGTGGTTTCTTGTGCTCAACTGATACAAGGCATACTAGGAAAATAGCTAAGAATTTGGCCAAATAAAGCAGTGGAACCGACTTAAAATGGGACTGAAAGTGGGAAAAATCACTGATGTGTAAATTGTGCCGAGACCACTAATTTTGCGCCAGTCCAATTCTATGAGTTTTCCATCAAATTTGTACTTTTCTGGTTATTATCTTCAGAAAAAGATTCTCTACCATTTCAGAAGAAAAACTTATGTTTTTTAAGTGGACATTGCAAGCAATATTAATTTCACGGGTTTGGACAGTGAAAGGTAATGAGCAACTCTCATCCCTTAACTCTTTTACCAAGTTATACAACTAAAGTTGAACACAAAAAATGGGTCTAAGATGAGGTTATTCCACTTTAATACATATTATCTAAAATTATTCCTATGCTTGCAAGTGAAAAATTCCCATTTTTTCTCAAGTATTATAAAATGGAAAGTAAAATTTTTGTGTAAAGAAGCAAACAGTTTTATAGGAATCAGTACTGTATACAGGTCTCCCTCAACATTTGCGAGGGTTTAGGGGATCAAGAGCCTCGTGAGTGTTGAAAAATCGCGAATGTTTGGTGCCCCAATATATTGTAGGGAAATACAATACAATACTGCTTCCTTAACTTGTTAAACCATGAAAAGTCATAAAATACATGAAAACGTCATAAAATATTGTGCTAAATACATACATGTTATGGTTTAACAACATGTATGTCATTAAATACCACTGCATCAACCACTACAGTGCACTGCTCATATTTTGGTACAATTTCTTTCTTCACTTCTATTGTGTTTGTCAATTTCTTTACCAAAGGGCTGGCACTAGCAAGTTTCTTTGGGCCCATGGTTAATTATGTAGCAGTTGCACTCAATCTACAAGCACCAAACACAATTAATTATTGTGAAATGTTTTGAAGGGCGCAGAGGTTAATGCTCACCCCAGCATAAACAAAGCCACGCTGACTGACGATGCCTTAGCCACTTCCTCCACCACTGCTTCAACCCACGTATTTTTGTACAATTTCCTTCTTCAATTCTATCGTATTATTATTATTATTAATACGATAGAATTGAAGAAGGAAATTGTACAAAAATACGAGGGTTGAAGCAGTGGTGGAGGAAGTGGTTGAGGCATCATCAGTCAGTGTGGTCTTGTTTATGCTGGAGTGAGCATTAACCTCTGCGCTCTTCCAAATATTTCACAATAATTCATTGTGTTTGGTGCTTGTAGATTGAGTGCAACTGCAGTGGTAGAGGCAGTGGTTGAGGCAGTGGTTGAGGCAGCAGTTGAGGCAGTGGTAGAGGCAGTGGTAGAGGCAGCAGTAGAGGCAGTGATAGAGGCAGTGGTAGAGGCAGCAGTAGAGGCAGTGGTTGAGGCAGTGGTTGAGGAAGCGGTTGAGGCAGCGGTTGAGGCAGCAGTTGAGGCAGTGGTTGAGGCAGTGGTATTTGATAACATACATGTTAATAATAATAATAATAATAATAATAATAATAAATGCTATTAATAATATGTATTATTATCATTAATAACATAGATGTTATTAAATACCACTGCCTCAACCGCTGCCTCAACCACTGCCTAAACCATTGCTGCAACCACTGCTTCTACCCCTGCCTCAACCGCTGCCTTAACCACTGCTTCTACCACTGCCGATCCACTGCCTCAACCACTGCCTCTACCACTGCCTCAACCACTGCCTCAACCCTGCCTAAACCCACTCCAGTCGCACTCAATCTACAAGCACCAAACAATGAATTATTGTGAAATGTTTGGAAGAGCACAGAGACTATTGCTCACCCCAGCATAAGCAAGACCACAACTGACGATCCCTCAACCACTTCCACCACTGCTTCAACCCTTGCATTTTTGTACAATTTCCTTCTTCAATTCATAGTGTTATTATTATTATTATTATTATTATTATTATTATTATTATTATTAGCAGTAGCAGAAATGTTGATTCTTTGCAGTGTTCAAGAGTAAAATATGATGTCACTGTCCAATACCTGTCCGAATGGCCTTTCCCAATATGCAGTCAGAATGGGATGACATATTTTATACTGTAGTTCAATAGCAAATAATAAACCCAAACAAAACTCACACCACACTGAGTGGTGGGGGGCTGGCTGCCAGTTGTGGGGGTCAGAGGGAGGGTAGTAGGGACTCGTGGGTGGCGGGAACTTAAATATGATTTGGCGCCTGGGAATTTGGTGGTTGGGAATTTGGTGGTTAAGAATTCGCGAATGTGTGAAGCCTGCGAAAGTTGAAAATGCGAATGTTGAGGGAAACCTGTATACTTATTGATCTTGAAATCTTATGGGTCAGTATTATTATTACACTCATGAGGGGGAACGAGTGATAAAACCCATATAGCTCATACAGTACCCGGTAGAATGGAATGCATTCAGGAAATGAAACACAGGTCCAATTCCTTAGATTATGAGCCCCTCACCAGCATCAAGGAACCTCCTTTGAAGGGTTATGGGTCAGTAAATGGGTTAAAAGAAAATAAAAAAATTGATAAAAACAATAAAAAAATTAGATAAATACAGAATAACCCAAAATGCTAATACTAAATATACTACAGTCAGCTCTCCTATGAAGCTATTTTATGTAGTGCAATTTTTTCAAAGGTAATTTAAAAAAAGCATTAAATTGAATAGCATGTATTATGAAGGCTTTTCACATGCTATTCAATTTCTGGATGCACATTTTTTTAAACTCTTTTAGGAGAGCTTACAGTGACACTTTTTTAAAATAATTACTCCTATTACATACCTATCAACAAGCTTAGACAGCAACTTGTCAGCCACACGTCGAATTTGAACTTGGGTGTGATTAAAATGAGTCAAAAGAAACTGGGCATGTAACACAAGTAGTTTCTCCTGCCTCTCATCTCGTGGTCGATGACTCACTTGCTCCAAGAATATGTTGAATACCTTCTCACTCACTCTGTAAAATTACAGCAGAGCAAAATAAATTTATATAAATAAGGTATTAGTTTGGAGGGGTATGTTATAAATGCTTCTAAACTGTTGTATCTGGGCACCTCTGCAAAGACAGTGATTATGTGTGAGTGAGGTGAAAGTGTTGAATGATGATAAAAGTATTTTCTTTTGGGGGATTTTCTTTCTTTTTAGGTCATCCTGTCTCGGTGGGAGACAGCCGACTGTTAGAAAAAAAAAAATTAGTTTCGCTATTAATATTAACAATTGCTAGTAGAATAATGATTATAACAGACCATCAATTAACACATGACCTGTTAAATTTTTCATGATAACAGCTGAAAAACTGATGCATATTTCTGATGATCTCGCTGTATTTATCAATAAGCACAGAGTAAATTATTTTTGGGAAAATACCTAAAAGGCAGTACTTGACAGCCAATAATTTTACTGAATCTACTCATTCTTATGCTTTTAACCCCTAAACAGTCCAAATGTATATATACGTTCTCACCACTAGAGCCCCAAATATTTATATACATACGTTTTATTTTTCCTGCCTCCAAAATTGGCACGATTGGCCTGAGATGCCTGGTCAGCATAAAATGGCTCTTAACACTCAGTGTGCACCATATTAAAAAATATCAGGGACCACTTAGTACCATGTGGGAGCGCCAGTTAAACTGAGCGCCAGCTAGAGAAAACAGTGCGGCAAACACCAAGGATTAACACTCTCCTCTTAACCCTTTGAGGGTTTCGGCCGTACTAGTATGGCTTACGATCCAGGGTTTTTGACGTACTAGTATGCCTAACTTCTAGCACCCTCAAATCTAGTGGGAGAAAGCTGGAAGGCCTACATATGAAAGAATGGGTCTATGTGGTCAATGTGCACAGTATAAAAAAATCCTGCAGCACACAGTGCATAATGAGAAAAAAAAAACTTTGACCGTTTTTTTGGAATAAAACAGCGATTTTGTACTGTATTTTCATACAGTATTTACTGTTGTATTCTAGTTTTCTTGGTCTCATTTTATAGAATGGAAGACATATTACAGAAATTGAGATGATTTTGATTGGTTTTACAATGAAAAGTACCTTAAAATTGAGTTCAAAGTAGCAGAAATGTTCGATTTTTACCAACCTTCAAAAGTAAACAAATCATGCCAAGCGTCCAATACACATCAACTGGTGAGTCTAATATTCTTTCGCAAGTGCGCCAATATTATTTACACCATTTTTTACACTAATGCCATAGTCTACATAACAGTAAATCTTCTATTTTTTTGTGAGAATAAAAATTCAAAGTGGAAAGCAAAAGAATATAAGAGGGGCCTTGAGACGTGACTAATGAACAGAGGAAATGTCATTTTAGTGCCAGGAATGTCTTTCTTGTTTATTCTGGACCCTATTCGGAAATTGGCATCTTTTGAAATTTGTGTGAAATTGGCAAAATTGCTAAATTCTGACCACTGTACTGGATAGTTGAAATTGATAAATGGGTGGTTTCGTGCACTCATTCGATAGAAAAAATGGAGCTCTAGCGAAATATTCATGTTTTTTGTTGACTAGTACAGTGGAATTGGCCGAAAATGGGGCTCAAAGTGGGCAAAATCGCCGATGCGCAAACATCGCCGAGACCGCTAACTTCGTGAGAGCATAATTTCTTAAGTTTTCCATCAAATTTCAAACTTTTGGTGTCATTATGATCGGGAAAAGATTCTCTATCTTTTCATACGAGAAAATTATTTTTTTTTTTTAAATTTGGCCGACCCTGAGAACGAGTCTCGGAGAGAGCCTGTCGACCCTTAAAGGGTTAAGAGGAAAGTGATGTTGACCCCAAGTTTAGTAGCTCTGAGGTGGATGTGGCCACAAGTGGTTGAGGAAATATCAAAAACCTCAATAATAACCCATGTGCAACATCTGTGCAACATCCATTCAGAATGTCTTATAACCTATGCCCAAAGTAAAGAGAAACAATTCTCGAACACGTAATTGGCGGGCTGGCTGGCTGGCTCTATCTCGTTTGTCTATCTGTATCTATTTCTATCTCTGTCTGTCTCTATCTGTCTCTGTATCTCTTTCTATCTCTGTCTCACAGGTACACATCAATACAATTATACACAGAGTAAATTACCTAGGGTAACCTAAAAAATCCAAAGTGCTAAACTGTGCTTGTAGATATAATGCATAAGAATACCTGTTGGCTTACAGTGGCTCTCTCTGAGACAGAAAGACAAGCAGAGAGATGGAAAGAGAGAAAAGCAGACAGAGAGACATAAGCAGAGACAGTGATGCCCACACTCATCAAATGTCACCCCTTATCTCATCTTATCACTGCACCCTTGCTGGTGCTCATCAAATGTCACCCCTTATCTCATCTGATCACTGCACCCTTGATGGCACTCATCAAATGTCACCCCTTATCTTATCACTGCACCCTTGCCAGCACTCATCAAATATCACCCCTTATCTTATTTTAACACCACACCCTCGCCGATGCTCATCAAATGTCACCACTTATCACTGCATCCTGCCGATGCTTGTCATTGACACATGTCTTACATCATGCTTCAGGGAACTTCTTCTTTCTTCTTCTCTTCTTTTTCTTATTATCATATACTTCCATATATCCAAAACATTGCTGGGACCTATAAATACTTTGTATATATTCCTAGACAATAGTAAATGACCAAAGCAGGTGTAAATGTCCACCTATCAATTTTTTTTGACAATCTGAGTACAATTTCAGTACCTAGTACTAGAGTCAGCACAAAGATTGGTTATGAAATCAAAAGAACTACTATTAAATTACAATTATCAGAACATAAAAATTATATAAAATATAAAAATGACAAAAAAAGGGGATATCGGCAAACACTTCTGCAAGTGGCAGGACTTTATGTTGCCGTCAGGTGAGCATTAAGTGTATACTTCGCAACCTCATATCTCGGTAAGTACTGACCCTAATTTTTTTTATTTTATCCTATAACACTTAGAAAATGTTCTCTTTGTTTCTATAAAAAATTTTACTTTACAAAATATTCGGGGCACTGGGCGAGAGAATATATATATACGTTTGGATCATTTTGGAGTTAACAATCATTTACTTATCCTAGATGTATTTATACAATTGTTGAAATACACTGGCAATTAAAAATAGTGTGAGAGTGGTGTAATAAAATGAGAAGTAAAGGGTTGATCTTGCAGCACCACCTTGAAAAATGCCTTTTTTTTGTGTCCATAGCCCCTCACATTATACGATCTTTTTTTTTTTTATTTATTTATTTTAAACTGTTGGCGTTTTCCCCCCCAAGCAAGGTAAAAGCAAAAAAAGAATAAACTTTCGTTAAAACACTTCACCATCACCATACAAATCACTGTCTTTGCAGAGGTGTTTGTCACAGTTAGATGCCCCCCAACTGCAAGATTCCAAACCCCCTTTTAAAATGCAGGCACTGTACTTACCTTTTTCTAGGACTAAAAGTCTGGCAAAACGGTTTTCAATAAACCCCTTCACAAAATATTCCCCTGCTCGCCAAAAAACGGCTCGTCAGGTCCCAAAAAAACCTTTCTCTCCTTTCACTCTTTATACATGGACCCCCGACCATTGAAAGTCTAATGAAAAATTTTTGACTAACGAAGGTTTGGCGTAAAAAATTTTGGCCCAACAAAAAATGAAAAACTGACCCAAACTTTGCCCCGAACTTCCATGTGCCCCGTGGGCCTGAGCGTTTAGCGCCTGCCTTAGTTAGTGTCCCAGTTTTTACAAGCCAGAGCGGTCATTCCACACTACTTTTGGGTAATTTGTATTATTCCAGTGTATTTAGTGTTGTAATGCTAAATAACCCACCATGGGCCCCAAGAAAGTTCTAGTTCCCAACCCTGTGTTTAAAAGGGTGAAAATTTTAAAATTTAAAAATGAAAAAGGATAATTAATAAGTATGAAATGAGTGCTTTGTCTCCGAGCTGGCCAGGTTGAAAACAAACCCCCAAATAAACCATCGCTACTATCGGGGCCAACAGAAAGGAAATCAAGGAAGCTTTTGTTGCGATGGGTGCAGGTATGTTTTCGAAACACAGATCGGGCACTCGAATATTTTTAGAGACTTTTGTTGTTGGGGATAAAAAAAAAACAGATTCAGGAGAAGTACTCTCAGTCTATGATTGTGAAAAGGCAAGGCAGTTGCATGATGTTTAAATTAAAAAAGCTTGCAACTAGTGGTGTGCAGGGGAATTAAGGGCCCAGAAAAGGGGTTGGTTTGAGAGTATAAAAAATGTAGTGGGCATACACGTGTGATAAGGGGGGGGTGGGAAGCCAGTTCGGAAAAAAAGGGGCTAAAAAAATAGTGCGGGAAATTCCGGGGTACAAGAGGTAAAGGTTTGCAACCCAAAAGTGTTTAATTGTCGAAACGGGTCTGTTTTGGAACAAAATGACAAACGGCCCTCTTTAACACAGAAAAAAAAAGCCGCCAGGACACAACCCTAGAAAGACAGGCTAACCCTTTAAGTTTTTGGTAGTAATATAATGGGGATTGCGAGTGAAGCCTTTTTTGTGTTCATTCTGAAACTCCCGGAGTGTTTCGGGAAAAACAATGTTGCAAGGCTAATTTGTGTGTGATGTGGAGGGCAAACAGTAAGGCGGGGGCCCTAGGGACGTTTCTATGATGGTTTTATATGTGTTTGCCCCCACTTTGAAAAATTACATCCTGGAAAATAAATTGGACCTAAGTGCCTTGGTATTAAAATGCTCTCCTTCAGACTTGCCAGAGCAAATTTTTCAGGGGATTTGGGTTTCAAAAAAAGTGAAGTTTTGCCTACAAATACCACCCCTCTCCCCCAGCCCAGGCCCCACGGGTCATTTAAAATTAAAAAAAAAACTGTACCCAAAAGCAATGTTTCAAAGTGCTTTGAAGTGACTAGCCCGACGCCCCAAAGAGAGTTTTGGAAAGATCACTTTAGTATCCTCATTGATAAACCTCAGGGGGTAGGTTTGGGGGGAGGGAGTGT